GAAGCTATAAATTAAAATTCGTTCTCAGAAAAAGATTTTATTGTGTAGCTTAGTGGAATTTAGCAGCGAAATTATTAAAATCATGAAAAATGTATTAAGAAATCCTTTCATATGATTTAAAGAAAACTCGTTTATAAAATCAACGGAAATCTCAATTTCGCTAATGATAATTCTTATTTGACTCAAACTGAGGCATATTAGCTAATATGATGCCAAAGTCTCTAATTCAAACAAATTCAGACTGCAAAATTCCGTACATTTCTGTTCGGCATTTTTTGAACTTCAAAATACCGGCGACATAAGAGCCAGTAATTAATTTTAATTAAATTCATCAAGCGCAAAATTTCAACATCTCAAACTTGTCAAAAACAATAAAACGTTCTCCGTTTCAGACGTTATTAATATCGTGTTCAAAGAAAGCCTGCAAAATAAGGATAGGAGAACGTTAAATTCACAACACAATATCCAATCAACTTATCGATTTTGTTTCCAAACTTTCATTTGAATTTATTGTTGCACCATTAATACATCTTTTCACGCTCGAAAATAATAAATTTTCGTCAAGAAACATAAATTTATGAAAAAATATAAATATTTATTGCTACTGCGGAACATATATCATTTAAAAATGGCTGCTATCTACGATATTGTCTCAGATCCGATCTTAGGTCCGTTTATGTAGCTCTGTTTCGACTCTAAATGATGTTGGACCGAAAAACCCAAACTGGTCTGATTTATTAAGAACGTAATTTTTTTCAACCTGAAACCATAAAAGCGTAGTAGAAAATATTATTTTGTTGTCAATACACAAGGAAGAGGTGATTATGCGCAAAGAGATATAAGATTTATCTTAAAAAGTTTTGCATGAGTTTCGATTTTAATGGTTACTAACAGGAATAAAATTTGGTTTTGTAAAACATAATAAATAATCACGATTTCATTGTTAATTGTCTATAAAACGAATATTATTGTTTTAAAGATAACTTAAAGCTTTAGTTTGATCTCAGTACCACATAAAACTGGCTAGATTGTGATCACTGCCAAAAATAGACTTGAATTATTATTATTGTTTCTGCATTTGGGCTATTTTCAAAAGATTAAGAACATCATTGCAAATTATAAGTGAATATTTTAACATTTTCACAGTTGCCCGTACGTTATAATTTAGTAATGAAAATGCCAGTTTTACAAATATGAAAACAATTTCCTGTCATAAATAATATTGAGATTAATTAACGTTTAATTTATGCTATAATTCCCACCATAGTTGTTTATCAAATCCGTATGCTAATTGAAACCAGTAAAATTGTCAAACAATTTCATTAATTCTTCAAAACGCTAACATTTAGATTAAATCAAAAATAGTAAACAAAAGTTTGCGTAATAAAAGTTCAATAAGTTTCGCAATAAAAGTAAAAAACTAGGTCATTGAATGTATGGTTTTTGCATTCGGAAGCAATGTATGCATTATTTATGAGAGTCAGGTCGGAAAACTATAAACCATTAGAGGATTCGGCGGATGGGTGATACACCTCCCAACTTTCTGCTGATTTAAGTACCCACTACGATACAACTGTTGCCGATGTCCCATGTCGCATTTTATTGTTGCCAACTTAATTCAACCACAGCCTGGTCTAATCTCATTACCTGATCAGTGGTCAGTTCCGAACTTTCTGGAAAGTTTATGTGGGTAAAGCTGCTGACATTGTTCCTATTTGCATTTAAAATTGTAACACAGATAAGTTTGCGGGTTGCGGTGACAAATGATATCTATATTTTGTTAGAATTTAGATGAAATATGTAGCTTTCTGTTTCATCGTTTGCAATTTTTCTTGAAATATTGCTAAATTATTTACACAACACCTCATTGACACGAAAGCACATCGCTTCCTGGAATATATTTTTCAGTAAAAACTTATGTTTTCTTGTCATGGCGTCATAAATTTTTTCGATGCGATGAATAAGTTTTTGTTAATTCTCGAGTATTTATTATTAAGAGTATTTTAAAATGAACTCTCAATTTTTCGAAGTGAGAGATATTGCATTTTATTATGGATAATTCCGCAGTCTTTCAAGTGCTGGCAACACCGACGTATTCATAATTACACGGATGATCTGAAGAATGACCTTGATCTGGCCAATCATGGTCGAGTTTTTTACAAATGTTGGACACTAAAATAAATCGCTGCATTCAAGGCTGCGGCATTGATTGGCCACATGTGTGTGTAAATGTGAGTGTGTGTTGGCAAGTGCTGTTTATGTGTTTTCGATTTGCCTGTAAAACAATTATAAAACATGGCTGTAATCAAATAGGTTTTTTATGTTTGACTTTTGGGGCGAAAAATAACAATTCCGTAATTTACACGTAAATTTATGTTTACCCGTATAAACGAAGTTTTGAAGTTATTTGATACTTTTTTATACAGATAAAAAAAATTATAATAACCTCTACATGTTAAGTTAAATATTAAAAAAAAAACTTTTTTTGAGAAGGGAACTGATACATTGTGATCATCAAATTTTCATAATTTCTAAAGTAAATTTACACTTTTAGTGTTTTTGAGAAAAAAAAAAAGAAGAAATTAAAACATTATCTCGCACTTTATTGCTAATATTACACATTTAATTAAATTGGTGAGTTTGTAAACACCTCCATCCGTCCAGAGATTGCTGCTAAATAATAAATAACATTTAGAACAATTCCTTTCGTTTCATTTTCAGCATTATCTCAATTGAAACAGAATTCCGCTTAATAATTTCACAAATTACCGGAAGCGCTTAACACAAAAGATACTAGAATATATCTCTCAAAAAATTACCGTACAAACTTTAAACACAATTTGAGTGGGCCATCTGTTAATAGCTTTTGTTGAAAAGTGCGTTGTTACTGGCGAAGTTTCCAAGTTAATTAATACGAATGGCTTCATCTAGTTAAATTAATTTTTTTATGAACTCACTTTATCAACTCTTGATGAACAGAAATTTAAAAGAAGCATCGATAACTTTTTTATTAAGAACACAATTAATTCCTCCGAATTTCCAGTAGGTAATTGCAAACACAATATAGACTGGTTGAGTTGTAATTTTGTTAATTTTTTTAGTTGTTTTTTCGTTTTACTGTATCAGCTCGGTTTGGGATTGAATCTCTGCCAGAACTAGTTTTACGCATCTCCGAACCGAATCCTAAAAGACTGTTCTAAACACTGCTCACTAAAGTATAAAATATTACACAATTACATAATCTAACAGAACAACTAAATCACCATAAACTTTCGGATTTCCGGCTATTATTCTCTAATGGAAACTTGCCAGAAATAGAAGTAAACAAATTCGGAAGTTCCATAACGGTGAGTGTGTAAATAATTTCATTATAGAGGTTCTAACGACATTTTCCATCTAGTTAGACAGTCTAAATTGCCAGCTTAATCCTGATTTAATTTTTGAACGCGTTAATGACGTCGAAGACAAATCGCCCTTTGTAAAGTTTTATTCGTTAGGTGTTCAGGATTTATCAAGCATAGCCCTGAGGCGCGCGATAGCTTTGGCAAAAAAGTTCGCTCCAGCAGGAAATAACTTTACACTTTAGTCATATCGACGGTGTAATATAGGCGAATCAAATCTCCGCTGTTGAAAATTTCAATTTGAACGAGTTCATGCTATTGACTGTGTTCCTTGGAACTTAATCTGTTTGCATTATGTCTCAAGTTCTGAACACACATCCAAATTGGTGAGTTGTTCAGCTTGGATTGTGCCCTACAGCTTGTTAAGAAGTTTACTTAAGGTTATGCGGTGGCAGTCTTTTTGTTGTAAGTGTGGGGAAACCGTTTAGGTCGTAACTTGTTTTGATGCAGAGCGATAAGAGACAAATGTGTTTAAAGTTTCCGCGTCTAAGTGGAGCCTTTTTCGCAATTAATTTACTAAGGCGTGGAAGTAGACTCAAAATGTGTGAACACGCACTAAGTGATTAACTGAAAATTTGCAGAGTTAATAAAACATTTTGTGAACTATGTGGGCATCTTCTGGACAAATGACGATAGCGTTGTGTTATCGTGTTATCGATTTTATTCTGTCTATGTATAACATGAAGGGTTTTCGCTATCAAACCATGTAATCAAAATATTTCGTTTTTTTTATAGAATTATTCAAAGAAATTAAGCAATTGTTTGTAGATTACAAATAACTATTGCGTAGTAGTTAATATCACAACAACAAGTAATATTGTTGCATGCAATGTTTCGTGCATTCACATTTGGTAGTTTGGAACTTGTTAGTTAACGAAACTTCCTGCTACCAAGATATATCAACAGAAATTCCTTCTCCATATATGAAATGACTGAAGGCATACTCTATATCTAAATTATATTTAAAGATTGATTTCCATTCAAACAAAAAAAAATGAATGAACTGAAGATCGAAAAAATATTATATACAGATTATTTCAGTGATGTTGCTATCAAAAATTAGTCATCCTGAATTTATTGCAAATTAAAATTATTTTTAAATGTACTGGGCGATTCAGTTGATTTGCCTCAACATCTATGTAAAATATCGGACACAGTTTAAAATAATTTTACAGATTGATTAATTTCTGTACATCGTGAGTATTTCTCCAAATATATATGTATATATAGTACTTTATCTACATATAGAATATTGTAGAATAGAATAGAATAGTTTATCGATCATCCAACACATCGCCCACTGTTGGGGAATATGATGGTTCCCAGTTACCCATGCATTTACGGGTAACTCAATTGTGAATAAAATTGTGGGTTAGTTATGAAAAATGTTTATTTGGAGACTTGTTCTCCTCTTACTTTCTAGCTAGCTAATAATTTACAATGTTTGAAGGGGGTGCAGCCTTCCCCCTCTACCGCTCACGCCTGCGCAGAGCGAGATGATATCTAACATAGCTCTCCGCGCTGAATTTGATATAATTACAATTCAGAAAATATTATATGTATCATAACTAGAAAATTTTAAATTACATGTCCATGGATTTAAATGAGTACAGTAGGTGGTTTATTACTGAGATTAAGCGCTCGAGTTTCTTCATTTTCGCGCGGCACTACACACACTTTCGAGAGAGGCCTTTTGTACACTCCGCGCACAGTTTTCACTGTTACCACCCTGCAGTGACCGTCTTGCCCAGGATGTATGTCGCAGATTCGCCCCAGAGGCCATTGTAAGGGTTGAGTGTTGTCTTCCTTCAGGATGACGAGGTCTCCTAGTGCTGGACGCTGTGTTGGTGTACGGCTCCATTTGGTCCTCTGTTGCATGTTGTGCAGGTACTCCTTCGACCATCGTTGCCAAAAGTGCTGCCTCAAGCTCTCCACGAGCTGATATCTATTCATGCGGTTGGTGGGTAATTCGCCAACAATGGGCTCCGCCGGAGCCGTCAACGGAGTGCCGATGAGAAAGTGGCCACGGGTTAAGGAAGATAGGTCATTAGGGTCTTCTGAGATGGGTATAATTGGACGGGAATTCAAGCATGCTTCTATCATTGCCAATAATGTATTCATCTCCTCAAAGTTTAGTAAAGTTTCCCCTAATACCCTTTTTAAATGGCCCTTAGTAGATTTTATTGCGGCCTCCCACAATCCGCCCATATGTGGCGCACGAGGTGGAATAAAATGCCAATTTATGTTGTCATTTGCCAGGTTGTCCAATACATTGGATTTGAACTCATCACACTCAAAAAGATTTTTTAATTCTTGTAGTTGGCGATTTGCACCAACAAAGGTTGTGCCGTTGTCTGAATATAAGTGACTCGGTTTACCCCTTCGTGAAATGAACCGCTTTAAGGCATTCAAAAATGTGAATGTTGTGCAATCGCAGACCATTTCGATGTGCACTGCTTTGGTGACGAAACAGACGAATATAGCGATAAAAATTTTTATCCTTTTTGTGGTCCGCCCGTACCCATTTTTTATGACGAAAGGACCCCCATAATCTATACCTGTGATAAGAAATGGACGAGCTTGCGTGATACGTTCTTTGGGTAGATCGCCCATGAGCTGTTGAAATGCCACAGGCTTTACACGGTAACATTTAAAACAACTAAAAATTACACGACGAATTAAACTGCGGGCTGCAATGGGCCAATATTTTTGGCGAATGGCTGATAAAGTTGCCAGGCAACCAGAATGCAAATTGTCTTCATGATATTTTTTAATGATTAACCTTGTCACATGATGACCTTTGGGAAGCAATAATTGATGTTTCTGCTCGACGTCTAAATTGGAGTTTTTTAATCTACCCCCTACTCTTAGTAGGCCTTTATGATCCAAAAAGGGATTTAAATTACAAATTTTGTTGTTGTGTAGGAGTTGCCTATGATTTTTTAAATTATGAATTTCTTCAGAAAAGGCTTCGGCTTGCAATAGCTTAATCACACAATCATGGGCGCGCTGCAATTCCTCGCAAGATAAGTGACCATTAAATTTTGGAGTTTTATTCAATGCCTTGTTTATAAATCGTAAAATGAAAGCAGTGACTCTGATTAATTTTGAAAAGGTAGAAAACCTGGTTAGTAAATCAAATTGTACGCTAGGTTTTGTTACTGATGAACAACAAACAGACTTTACTTCTGGAATATGTAGCTGCGTCCGCTCATCTTTGACAAATTGAATATTTTGGTGGTGACCTTCCAGGAAGTTGGGACCGGTCCACCACATTTGGGACATTTTTAATTGTAATGGAGTAGCCCCTCTTGATAAAATGTCCGCAGGATTTTTACTAGAGGGGACGTAATGCCAGTCTGAAATGTCTGTTAATGATTGTATTTCATTAATACGATGCGAAACGAATGTCTTTAATGTCGACGGATTAAGACGTATCCATGCTAATGCGATTGACGAATCGGACCAATGAAATTTTTCGCTAATAGGAATATTTATAATTTTTATTATTTTGTTAGTGAGACGTGCCAATAACAGTGCCGCGCATAATTCCAACCGGGGAATTGTTAGCTGCTTTAAGGGTGCAACTTTACTTTTCGCGCATAAAAGTTTGGCTCGATAAGTACCTGACGGGTCCATGGTCCGTAAATAGATGCACGCGCCATATGCATATTGACTTGCATCACAGAAACCATGCAATTGAACTTGTGTTGAATCATGAATTACTCTACGCGGTATGGTTATACTATTCAGTTCCGGAAGTGACTTCATAAAATTCTTCCATATTGTGTACAAATCGCAAGGTACACTTTCGCCCCAATTGATTTTTAAGGCCCATAATTTTTGCAGAATTATTTTTGCCGTAACCGTGACGGTTGCAACAAGTCCAAGTGGGTCAAATATCTTTGCGACTGTACTTAAGATGATTCTCTTTGTTACCTTTACCTTCGATGCAGGTTTTTCCCAAGTTGAAAATCTAATAGCATCCGCATTGTTATCCCAAAGTACCCCTAAAGTCTTTGTCGGACCCTGCTTATCCAAGGATACTGTATAAGTTTCGCCTACCTGTTCATTGCCATAAATTACTTGAGGGTAATTGCTATTAAGCTTATGCAGCTCAAACCCTCCCCCTTTTAAAATGCGCTTTATTTCTTGCAATAATTGCGCCGCTTGTTCCGGTGTGTCTCCACCGCAAATAAGGTCATCGACATAGAAACTTGTAGAAATTGCCCTGGCCGCGTCAGGGAATTCGAGCTCTGCGTACCTGGCGAGTTCTAATAAACACCTGGTAGCTAAATAAGATGAACTAGCAAAACCGTAAGTTATGGTGTTTAACTGAAATACCTTCACCGGCTCATTTATGTTATCGCGCCAGAATATTTGTTGATATTTTCTATGATCTTCATGCAAGAGTATTTGTCTGTACATTTTTTGAATATCGCCGGTTATCACTATTTTATAAAATCTAAACCGAATTAAAATGCCGAACAGATCTTGCTGCAAATTGGGCCCTACTAGGAGGCTGTCGTTAATGGATTTATTGTTAGTGGTTTGCATTGAGGCATTGAATACAACGCATAATTTGGTCGTTATTGAGGATTCGTTAATAACTGGGTGGTGACTCAAGAAATAACCAGAATTGTTAGGATTAGCAACCTCCGTCATGTGTCCTAGGATAAATTCTGAGTATTGCTTGAATAAGTGAGGGTCCTTGTGAAGGCGTTTCTCGAGATTATAAAACAGCCTTAATGCTTTGTTCCTAGACTCACCGATATCCGGTGGATTCGTTACAAATGGTAATTTTACCGAAAACCGGCCATTCTCTAATCTCCTAGAACCTTCTAAGAAATATTTTTCGCAGATGTTATTAATTTCAGGAGGTTGGTCCTCCGGGTACTGCTCAATTTCCCAAAACCGTTTTACCTCCTGTTCTAATGAATGATTCGTAACATGACATGACGAAGTTTTTTGATTATTAAAACATCCTACTACGCCCCCGATAATCCAACCAAGCTGGGTTTTCTGTAATACCGGACCCTGTTTACTCAACCTAATTTGACCGACACACATTAGGTCCCAAAAAATTTCGTTTCCAATTAAAATATCTACTGGTTTAGATTCATTGTACAAAGGATCGGCAAGTTTAATATTTATTGGAATATCGTTTATGGGCGAAAATGAGGTGGATGGTATGTTGCCCATTATTTCTGAGACTATTAAAAATTCGAGTTTTGCATTAAAATTATTGATAATTGAAGAAATTCGAGCGCTAACTGTCTTATTGATTACTGAAGAGCTGCATCCTATTCCTATAACTGACAAGTTTATCGTTTGTACGTTTTTTAGACCTAATTGTTTTACAGCTCTTTCAGTTATGAAGTTGGAAACGGAACCATTATCTAAGAGTATACGAAACTGGATTAATTTACCATGTTCATCAGACACGTTGATCATGGCAGTGGATAATGTAATATTTTTATTCAAGATCTGTGCACAATGACTACTGACACTGTTTAAAGAAGAAGTTGATGGTTCGGGAGATGTACTTGTTTCGCGTTCATTTATGTGTAGCAAGGAATTGTGGCGTTTGTTGCATTTTTTACAGTTACTGGAATTGCATGACATCAATTTGTGTCCACCTTTCAGGCAGTTAAGACATAATTTTCGTTTTTTGATCTCATTGATTCTTTGTTCGATAGATAAATTCAAAAAATTAGGACAATTATAGATATTGTGCATTTCTTTGCAATAAAGGCACTTACCAAAGGGAGCAGATGTGTTCGCCACGTGGGAGATCACCCGATTATTGATGTATGGATTTTTGGTAATCTTATTATGAAAATTAGAATTAGACCTACTGGTTGCGTTAACCTCCAGTGATTCCCACATCTGACAGCGTTGGTTTAAAAAATCGCTCATGTCTTGCATCGAAGGGATTATATTTGAAAGCGTTGTCTCCCACGCAATTATAGTATTATGATCAAATTTGGAAGTAATTATGTAAATGAGTAAATCGTCCCATTGACTTGTTGGACGACCAAGGTTCTCTAAGGCCTTAAGGTTTGAATTCAAAGCTTGTATAAGTGATCTAAGTGATTTCGAATCTTTGTTGCTTATGGCGGATAAAGCGAAAAGCGCGCGCACATGATGCTGTGCGATTAAGCGATTATTTTCATAGCGCGCCTCGAGCAGGGACCACGCCGATTCATAATTTTCTGCTGTGGGTGTTAAGTGCTCAATGGTTTGCTTTGCATCCCCTTTTAAGGCACCTTTCAGGTAATGAAATTTTTGGATTGGAGTTAACGTACTATTATGAATAAGCGCTAAATACGTATCACGAAAGCTAATCCATTCTGTAAATATGCCTGTAAATGTGGGCAATTGGATATCTGGCAATTTTACGTTGTTAGGTATACATTTAATATTGTCTGACGGTATCTCTGTACTACCTTTACTGCTAACAAAAGTTTCAGCTTCCGTGACTACCCTGTAAAATTCGTTCTCAAATTCATTTAAATCGTCAATATTCACCTGAGATTCGTCCAAGTCGTGAAGCTGCATATAACAATTTTCGAATTCTTGCATACATGACTGTACACCTTCTAATCTTTTTTCAATTTCCGCGATTTTACCTTTATTAATCGGATCGTTAAAAAAATGTGCAAATTGAGTAAACCTGCGTTTGACAACCGCCCTTTTCGTCTTGAGTGTTTTGATTTCCCTTTCAATCGTCATATCGATCAATTATTATTAGAAAACAAAAAATATATGGCAATAACCCCATAGCAAAGTAAATTCGAATACAAACTTGCAATGATAAACGCATGCATGAATAAGGAGATGATAAGAAAGGAATGCCACTAACCTAGTCTTCCTGGAGATGTTTTCAAATGATGTGATGATGCCAATGGAACTGTTGTTACTGGATATCACTGTCGCGTGTTTGATAATATATTCGCGGTATTAATATCCGGCTCGAAGGACCAATTTATGTTGGGGAATATGATGGTTCCCAGTTACCCATGCATTTACGGGTAACTCAATTGTGAATAAAATTGTGGGTTAGTTATGAAAAATGTTTATTTGGAGACTTGTTCTCCTCTTACTTTCTAGCTAGCTAATAATTTACAATGTTTAAAGGGGGTGCAGCCTTTCCCCTCTACCGCTCACGCCTGCGCAGAGCGAGATGATATCTAACACCCACATAGGACATACAGTATTCGTTTGATACCACGTTTGTTGGTATTTATTACAACAATGATTTCAAAAAGCTTATAGAATGAATCTCAAAAAATTTGATTTCGAAATAAAGTTTACTTAGAGATAGAAGAGTCGGTGATATTATAAAATACACTTTTTCCATTTGAAAAATAAGAGAAGAGAAAACTGAAAATCACCCTGCACACAGTAGTTAAAACTGAAAATTTAGTGACGTTGCTTAAGTAAGTTATTATTTTTGTTTTACCTCCTACAGAATCGAGCCCTAAAAGATCGTGTAATACCTTTAATGAAGCCCAGGATACAATCTATAGGTGCATCTCCAATATCATTTGACCCAAAAATTTGGAAGTCCTTGTGTTCTTTTCTGTTGTCAATAAGTGACAAGCAGGAACATAAAATGTGCTAAGAGGTCAAGTCGTCCTCCAAGCACATTCTGCATGTACTATCGGAAGCCAGACCCAATGATGCACTGGTGTTTGTTTATCACAATTCTGTTTCTGTTGGCTACAATTCTGAGATCCTTTCAATAGAGTCTCAGTAGCTTTTCGCTGCGTTTCTCATCAGGCCATTATATGAATACTCCTGAGTGATGCAGGTTTAAGGTTTGTCATTCTTGAAGATGGCGTAGTCTCGTGCATTTTTTGAATGCTCTTTTGGCGGATTTTAGACACTGGTAGAGATACCTCCCGACTTACAAAGTCCCTTTCAGAGTTCCATCTTGCTAGAGCATTGACCCTTTAATTTTTTTTGTGCTCCGTTAAATCCTGTATTCGATTGTGACATTTCCAGACAAACTTCGATGTGTGTAAGGCCCCTATTCAAGTCTGTTTGTCTGTTAAAATGCAGATTCGCCTTCGAGAGAAAGTTCGGTGTTGACATTTTGTTATACAGGGTGTTTTTGAAAGGTATGTAAAAAAAATGTGACCATCTCGGAAAACCATATAGAACTTTTTTCAATGTAGAAATCTCACAAAAAAAAAAATTATCCCCGTCCGTACTCTACTTAATTCAATTTTCTAGTAAGTTAAAAATTTTGTAAACGGCACGACTTAAAAAAGAGTTTTTTTATTTTTCAAAAACAGTTAAAAATCGCAAGATAAAATTGACATTGTTTATTACAATAAGTGTTCGAAATGACGTCCCTCGTTTCTAATACCGGTTTCCGCAAGTCGAATGAGTAATCGCTGTGTCCAAAGATCGTGTCAGGTTTAGCTCTAATGTTTGTTGCAACTTCCTCAATGCAATTTTTTAGCTATTCAACTGTGGTCAACGGGGACTGATATACCAACTGCTTTATGTACTCTCACAAAGACATCGGATGGATTGAGGATGAGAGACCAAGTAGGCCATAAGACTGGCCCATTTCTTCCTATCCACCGTCCTGGGAAGTTCTTGTTAAACCACGCACGCATTTAAAAAATTGTCCAAGATATTATTTAAAAAGTTTAGATAAATAGCGACAGTTAACCGGGGTGGTAAAATGTATGGACCTACTTATTAGGTGGTTTCCAATCATACCTGCCCAAACATTGACACTGAAGCGATCCTGAAAATGCGTTTCTTAAATTGCGTGAGGATTCGCGTCTGACCAAACATGGGTGTTGTGGGAATTGGAAATACCATATCTGGTAAATGTTACCTCATCTGTTGAAAATAATTTTTCAACAAAGTGTGGATTTTCCCTGTTTTTTTGGAGCAACCAATCACAGAACGCAACCCTTTTTGGTAAATCCTCCGGCTTTAAGTGTTGTACGCGTTGCACATGATACTGGTGTAGGCTCTGTTTATTTAAGGTCCTCCAAACCACAAATAGTGAAAGCTCTACTGGGTACGCCAATGCCTGGGTTTTCTACTATGACATTTAAAATTTCGTGTTTCGCATTTAGTGTTTGGTTGGTTCTTTGGCCACCCCAATCTGACGTACGTCGACGAAATTCTCAATTTTCTGGGAGACGTTGTACAATGGCATGAAAAGTTCTATGGTTTGGTAAATTCCGACCGGGGAAAGCTTCACCATTAAGACAATGTCGGTCATTTCGGCATTTGTATCACCTTGCATTTTTTAGGAAAACTTCTGTGAAAACACTTTGTCGAAAAACGTCAAAAAATTTTCAAGTGAAAGTTTCTGTTGCTGAGCAACGATTGTCATTTTTTCCCTTCAAAAAAATATTAGCACACCGCAAGTGTTGCTTAGCAACCAATGAACTGCTGTAAATCAGTAGCACACAGCAAATTTTAATCAACTTTTTAACGAATTTTATCTCAAAAACGAAAGAACTTTTATTAAGGTGATTTTGAGTTTATGACGTGCTTGTCATGACCAATTTCCCTTTTTTTTTGACATACGTTTCAAAAGCAGTCTGTATATACAATGAAGGCAAACATTTTTGTCTGCAAGACACCGGTCTGCTTACCCAGTGATATAGAGACGCTGAGATGCTTTGCTTGAGTATATGCCGGAGCCTGATCTTTTACTGGAGACTGTACTATTCGCAGAGCAGATGATCCAGCTCCCTTGAATCTCACTTCGATCTTCCTTCCAATGTTCTCGTGGGTGTATAAACCCTTCATATGAATGATCTGTCACTAGAACGGGAATTTTACTATCATTGTCATTGTCATTACTATCTGTTCGCTTTGTCCTATTTTTCTATTGACCAGAGCTACGCATTCTCAAGGATCTTGGTCTGACCACCGACAGGTGAAAAAGAGATAGCCCGATCAGTACTTCTATGGCAGGCAGATGTTGTGTTCAGGCCAAAAGAGTTTTAGCCCAGACTTTCATCGTCTAACCTCAACACATAATGGCACCGTAGAGGTTCATTGACCTTATGACACTGGTGTACAGCCAATGCATTGCTCTGGGTGTTAAGCCCCAAGATTTCCTTATAGTTCTTTTGACGCTCAAACTGCTTCAGTTTTCTTCTTCGTCCGGTTTGTGCCGTGAGTCCTCCAGGAAAGTCTTTAGTCCAGGCAGATGCCTAGAGACTTGACCGTTTTGTGTACCCGTAGTGTTTTTCGTGTGATCCCAACGCCTCTTTAGAAAAATGATATGATTAGTTTTATCTGGATTAATACACAAACCATTTAATCGACACCATTTCTCCACAAGTCCGAGTGTCCGCTGCATGACTTCTTAGCTACATCGAGAAATTTGCTTTTTACAAGGATTACTATATCATCAGCATATTCTTGAGCTTCACTTAACCAGCAAATCAGGTCATCTACTAGCAGGTTCCATAAGAGGGGGATACCAACCCCCTTGAGAACAACCCTGTGCAGCATCGCACGGACCCGCCTGACAAGTGTCGAATCCCCGGTGTACTTGGTCAGAGATGATCATATGGATTCACATGTTACATTGTCAAACATCTATATCCAGAAATGTTAAAAGTGAGTAAGTTCCACCTTTCAGCCCAGCTTCGATTGTATTGTGTTTCGCACCTGTCAGCAAGTTGGTTTGGGTACAGGGGCATGTTACCTAACAACTCCTCACGAACATGCCTGTCGTCAGTTTTTCCATAGCCTTTAGGAGAAACGACGTTGGAGTAACGGGCTTACAACTATTAATCTCGACTTATGTACTACGCCCAGGTTTAGAAATAAAGATAACTCTTACTTTCTTCAAGCCAGTTATTTTACTCAGAGCGAGACAAGCTCTGAAAATATGCAGCAGAGGTTTAGTAATAAGAGATTTTAGTCTCTTTTGTAAAAAAACTGGAGAAATTTCATCTATGCGCGCTGATGTAAATCGAATAAGCGAATTTATTGCTCGTTTCAACTTTTCTGAGGTGACGACGTTGGACCCAAATCGCCATGTCTCCTGAGAAGCGGTGTGATTTGGTATTTACTGCAACTTCGCCTTACACTCTAGTAAGTTTGAGAAGTGCTTACTTAAAAAGAGTCTCACAGTGGGGATTTTCTGCGGTCTTGATGCTTGTGGAAAATTGTCTATCTTCCCACAGAAATCCTTTCATCTGTCTAATTTCCTGTATCGAATTGCAGATTTGTATTCTTTCGTCTTATAGAACTCTCAAGAGTTGTATAATTTGTCAAATCTAACCCTATTTCAGAGCTTTCTTGTCAACATACTGAGGTGAGAGTTAGAGATGGGCCACAGTCGTTCCTATGCGAGTTACGTTTTGTCCTGGTAAAACTCAACAATGGCTTCTTGCATCAAAACCGCTGTTTCTTCCGCTCCTTTTACGGACTATATTTGGCAGTCCTAAAACCCTTTTCTCTACAGTCTCCTTATAGGAGTCGCCGTTTGTCGCTTTTGGTTTTCTATGATCCTGATCCGACCCTTTATTATCCTGAATGCTAAATCAGCTGTGTCGACTGTCATGAGCCAGCTCTACTGAGTCTATAAGATATATCGATAACCGCTTCCCTCACTTTATTGGTGAAAGTAGCTTCGTTCCAACTGTTCAGAATATCCAAACCCGTAGTAGCAAAATAATTCAGATCTGGAATTGACATCAGAATTTTTCCACATAGTGTGGTGTGTGTTCACATCGTATCCTACGATAAGACGTCATTCTTTAGCCTTGTTAAAGTCTGTTAGGTCTGTTAGGACAGTTAAGGGTGGTAGCATAGGTGAGTCATACGTCAGATAGGCGGAACACACTGTCAGTATTCTCGGTGTTCCACCACTTATGATATTTACAACGGCAGCCACTACATCCCTGGAGCACAGGTTTTGTAAAGGCATGCCCTGGGTTTACATCCGATAGAACCAGTAATAGCTGATTCTTTCTGTAAATAGTTGTTGAAGAAGCCCAATATCCACACCCCAAATGTCCGCCTACCTCCTAAAGCAAGTCCACGCTGCGCCGCTGTGATGAAAACTGGGTTAAAAATTGACAGTTAATTCCCTAGACCCGTGACGATCGTTTTCTACGTTTCCGTCTTCATGTCAATCCAGCAACCTTAAAGTCGCCGGATTGAAGGCGTAGAAAACCCGGTAGTCTCATGCACTTAGGACTACTATGGACGTTTTCCATAGTCTAACAACGATTGTATCATATATGATCCAGCTAGAGCTCTCTATCTCACGATTCTAAGTTTCTAAAAGCCTCAGAGGGATCAGTATTGTTACGAAATAAAGCCATACGCCGCCCCGGTACGACGCCTATGAGGCCTGGAAGCGGAAGTCGCAAATGGGTGCTCTAGACAAGTCTAGAAGCGGTGACGGAGGCGTTCAGAGAAAGATCGCGTAGCGATTTAAATGAGAACCACCGTCGGGAGCAGTCAGTTAAGTCCGGACAATGAGCAGTAGAGTTTAGTCAAATCCATTCCAGCCGAGTCGGAATTATTCTGTACATAATCGCTGTTTGAGTAGTCGTGTAAATTTGAGTTAGTAAAAAATAGATTGTTGAGTTTAATCCACACCGATTTTAAATCACCGATCATAGTAACAGTACCAAGCCTTTCCTTAGTCTTAGTGGATGCACGAGTATAAGTCTGCTATCGGTTCCTCTGAGTAGCAGTTCAGTCTATCTGCAAGATTCTTTTTCCCACGGTTTCCTTTTGGAGGAAAAATTGCAGACCTCCAATTTTAAATATGCACATTTTTTATACAGTGCATCTTTTTTAAAAGTGGCCATAGAGATTCCCATGTTAAATTTTAGACCCTATGTTAACTTTTGTTAGGGTGAAATCCTGGAAATGATTTATTCGGTGAAAATAGCCTTAGGGTTCTGTTTTAATTTCCACTACCACTTTTTGCAGTAAATTATTAATTTGTGATTTAAAAAATTTAAATTATTTTGATTAAAAAATTTTGGTACATCATAGAAGGTTTTGACTTATCAATTTAATTTGTCATTTCTGACAGCATAATTTTAATTTAGCCATTAAATACCTGTACTATAGTTTTTAGAAAAGAAACAACATGATGCAATTCAAATGTAAATGAAGGAAATAAAAGAAAATTTCACTGAAATTGCCTTTTTGATGTCCACAATCGAGAAAACCTGTGTTTATAAATCTGCCGTAAAATTCTTGCCGAGTATAGAATGATGTTCGTATACTGCAGCAAAATTTTGCGTATCTCTGTTGTCGATAAGGCTTTAATATATCCATCAGTGAACATTTCCACTTTTTCTTTAATTGTGTACTGTGGCATACTGACAAATTTCGGTCACTAAAAACCAGTAATCGAAGGAGTAATCAAATTGTAGCAACGTCAGGTAAATGTCCCTTTTTGACATGGCTGCCTACAATATTACAGACAAAAATACCCAAATATTTTAATTTTTTAAAGAAATATCCTTTAATTTAAAGCGTGATCTTTAATCAAATTGACAAAATATGACCCAAACTACATCCAGTAAAAATTGCAACTCTGAATCTTTACTCAATCATAAGGTAACACGGGATATAAAATTTAACATGGGAATCCCTATGGCCACTTTTGAAAACGATGCACTGTATATAAAAGCTAACATATTAAAAAAAAATCTCAGAAAATTCTAGCTGGCAATATATGTTTCCTTTACTACTAAGAAATCTAATGTTGTAATACAGGGCGTTACGTTTAATAAAAAACTCAACTGTAGTATGTAACTTAAAAACGAAATAATCTGTATGTATATTTGACAATAATTTTAAATTGGTCCCCTAGATGAGCTTCAAAGTATTTTTGTCAGTAATTCATAGGAATGTGTAATCTTCCACCGCCTTACAAGTGGGACACTCTGTATGAATATAAATAAAAAATTAGATAAAATGACGTATGTGGATTTCTAGGTCAAGCAGATCGTTGATAAATAATATGATTAAAGTTTTTAAGTGACTACAACACGAAAACAAACAATTGATTAAAATCCACTAATTTGTTTTTATTTTGTGTTACTGTAGTAAGCACAACTAATGAATAAATATAAAATTGATAAAACATGGTTTTCGAAATTTTGAACCCTGTATAAATACAAAACTTAATATAAAGCTGCCATAAATGATACATTCGTACAACCAGCCGTAAAATACTTCCTAATTGCTCATTCAATTAAAAGTTAAATATTGCAGTGTAATGGATTATCTGTATGTACTTACAGAGTATATCTATAAATAGACTTTGATAAACTTTAGCTTTCGTTCTAGAATAGTTAGAACTTTATTTTTAGCTGTCTTGTTTGTAATTTTGAAACTGGCGTTTATTACCGAAAACGTAATTTTTTGTATTCTTAAACTTATAGATATTATTTCCTAACCAATAAATATCTGGGTGTTAACAGGTTAATACGAATCATATCTTATATATATATATATATTTTTAATTTCCGTTTTCTCAAGATGTTACAAAATAAAAGAAGCTTCCACGTATTTAAATTTTTTAATCAAAATTATAAGCAAATATTGTTTGTGTATGTAATAGATAAAAAAATAGAGTATCTGATGAATGGCGTCAAGTTCACCAATTGTTAGATTATCTTCCATTGTTAGATAAATTAAATACATGATAAATTTTATTATCTCCACTCAAACTGTTAATTTCAGTAAAATTAAATACAGATTTAGAAATAGGAGCAGTTTTCACGAAATAGGTAAAAGTTGCGGATTAAAAAGAAAAATCGATTTTTATTACAAAGTTCGATACACAAAAATAAATAAATATAAATTAAACATTCGCATAAATGAAATCTATACAAGCGAAAATTTGTTTTGTTTTTTAGTTTTATTTTTGCTGTCCGTCCTCTTCAGTAATGTCTTTTCTAAAACGATAACAGGAGATTCAAAAATTAAAGTCCATACGACGGCAATTCCAATAGTAAAAGCAAGGTCACCCCAAAATTTATGAAACTGTAAACATTTTAAATAAGTTTTAAAATTTAAATTGAACTATAAAACGTACCGCATAATAATCCGAGAAATGCAGTGGCGATCTTGTACTGAAGTTAGTCATAAAAATAAATGAGTAGTGTACAAGATATATGCTATAGCAGAGTCGAGACAAAATTTGAAAGAGTGAGCAAGACAGGAACTTGTTAATTGGACCTCCGTATTCCATAACACAAGCAAATATAACCCAACAGATCGCTATTGCCCACACTGGTCTCATAAGTGCAATAAAGAAGGAGTTTTCCAGACGATTATATTCAGTGGTTTGAAGCGTGTGACCTGCGTAGAGACATGTAGCCATCAGTGCTAGTGACAAAATCCATCCGCAAGAAACCACAATCTAAAATTAACAGGACGACTTATCAGTACGCGTTGGGACCAAATTTATATTATATAGCCACCATATTTAAGTGAGGCTTTCTTTTACTTGTCCTCAGACTGTAGATAGCGTAACCCAACATAATGCCAAAAAGATACGGTACCATTCTAGTATGCGTGGGCATGTAGTAGTACTTCATAAAATCGGTAAGATTACCATTGACATTTGCTGTTAGTTGTCCCCCCAGTTCATAGAACCACCCAAGTAGGAAACTACCTATAATAGATGCCAGTGAGGCAACACTCAAGAATAGGTAACCCCAGAATGGCCACTGTCGCATCAAAATTAAGATCGCGGGTGAAATTAAAAACAGTTGCATATCAACCGATAAGTACCAACTTTGTGGAACACACTGCAAAAGAATGAGTTTTTATATAACTATGTATATGAGGCAGTTAATATTTTTAATAAACTTACTGTTCCTTCGGGGTTGGCATAGTTTTGCACATAGAGTAGCGCAGACCACCAGTACTTCTTGCAAGCTTTAGTAAGAAAAGTATCAGTTCTTTGCCATACAGGTCCGGATCCAAAATAATTGAAGAGAGCAGCATGTGCTAACACCATTGCGGCAACTGCCGGAGTAAGTCTCAGATAGCGATGAAAGTAATATAGAGGCACATTAAACTTGACGCCCTTATCCATCGTAGCTTGGAAAGTGTAAATTGTGAGGAAACCTCCCACGACAAAAAATGTGTCAACGGAAACTGTTGCTCCAGTTATGTATTGACTATAAGTAGATTCTATCCACTGTAAAGTACATAAACTAAATGTTTGGGGTCATACTGTGAAATGTTAAATATTTACGTTGTAAACATCTAGATAATTGTCTAAAGGAACAAAAACATATGCCATGTAGACATGCCCAAGAACTACCCACAACATACTTAAAGATTTAATTCCATTTAAACACAAAAGTTGTTGCGAATTTCCTAAATGAAATAATTTTTTTCCGTTGCTGTATAATGAAAAAGCGATTGCAGAAGAGCAAACTGGATCTACAAAAAAACGATAAACACGGAATTACGTAAGGTGTTGAAGTACCTAGATTTCTATAGTTTAAGTAAATGTCGTAGATTGTTGATGTTAGCGTGATTAGAACTATTAAAGCAAAGATAACACTAAAACAAACAGTTTGATAAAATTATAAAATGTCCAAGTGTGAGTTTGTATTCTTACATCGCCACAATAGCTAACGCGTCTAACTTCGGGCCAGAATCTTTGGCCCAGCACTGGCTATCATCGAAACGTACAAATCCAGGAAAAATTATATTTAAATCATCAGCACTGCATGATTTCAAGACACAATAGTACAAGCCAAAACTGATGTCCGCTGACTTGTAATTAACACCTACTACTTCTGTTTTCTGAAAATTTTGATTTTCTTGAAATTTATACTTAATTAAATTTTAACAGAATTAACGCACTATTCTTTTATGTGGAGGAGCAATCTTCCAGTCAGTTTCAGAGGGTAAATCTAGATTTATGGACGCTTGACAAAATTTTGTGTCCACTTCTTCTATTTCCAGACATTCATCGTAATTGCCCATAGGCATGATATTGCCTTTGGATATTCCAGAAGGTATTCTGGAACTAGCGTCCACCACTAATAAAATAATTAATAAAGAATTTTCCGGAGTTATTTGAAATACTTACTTAGCCAGTACGTGGTGGTTAATATTGTAGTACGACTCAGATCTTTCTGGCATTCCGGAGACAACATTTCTCTTGTTTTGGTACTAATATTGGTCAAAATGCCTTCATAAGTTATTTCACTACACGATTTGTTAGGTATAACACTGAGTAAAACTGCTATAATAATGTACTTCATGTTTCTAACACACCTCTAATTTCGGCTTAGGTTTTTTGAACTACAATGGCAAGTGAACGTTTTGTATTTATATAATTGATAAAATTGTAAATTATTTGTCAGCAAATACACGGAACAGACTTGATACTATTCAGTAGACATATAGTGTTTATTCCGTTTACTCATTTCTCGTATTGTTTGATGTTATCTTCAACTTCCTATTCCCAGGAATTCTTGTTTACTAGAATTGTAGTAATAGTCTAGTTTGAAAGCATGAATTTATACACAAAATAAAAAGAAAGATTTAACGAACTCTTATTTCTGATAACCTCTGTACATTAATTTCTTTTTTAAAGACACTAAACTATTTTACAAGTTCTTGTGGAACTTGTTTTTCTGAATTTGTCAATGTATTATACTTTAACCATCCATACTCCGCCTCTGTTTATGATTCGAACTCATTATATTCCGAAAACACACTTGTTTATATTTGGTGTGGTCAGCACTTGGCCTTAGGAGACGGATTAACAAGGATTCCAAAAATATGAATGCCTTTATAAAGAACAAGGTTAAGTGAGTTTTTCCAATTGAAAATGTTCCGATCGACATTATTTCAGCAAGGACCCGTATCTTAATTCCGGCACGTGCAGTGTAATACTAATAATAAAACACTGGGGTGTACCGTTTTTGAGATTTGATCAATAAAAGAAAATTTCAAACTGAAATTAAAACAAAATTGTTGTTTGTTGAAAAAATCTCATAGAAACGGCTTATTTCCTTGATTCGAAGTTAAGTGAGGCGCACTTTCGATTTTCGTCCTATACCACTTTGGTTTAGTATCCACTTATCGAGTTTCGCATCTCTTTAAGGAAAATGGGGTTGTATTGTTCGGCCGAGATTGATAGTGTGGCTCTTAAGGTGTTTTCGTATTAGAAAGGCTTTATTCGGAATTGTGTATGACTATCCATTATTGGCGAGCTGATGGTTTAATTATGCTATTATTAGAGAAACGTCAGGGTAGAATCGAAGGTCTGAAGTATCTGGGATGAAGCTGTCGCCTAAAATCCCGTATATACGAAATAAAGTCATTTCCAGTCTAATAACAGTTTCCACGAAATGGGACTTGCCCTCGCTGAGCGTGTTGTACCTTGCGTGGGATGAATTGGGATATGAAGAGATTTTAATGAGATTTTTGTGGAATTTGTGTTTACAGTTTACGAGATTTGAAAACAAGTTAATAGCTGCTTTTAACTAGAGCAGCTAGAGATAAACGTGTAGTGAAGATAAAATTATTCGGAACTGTGCGTTCGCGAATTTTCGATGAAGTGGTGACGCACTTGTCATTAATCATCTTTGTTTTTTAAAGGAAATAAAGTAATCTGGGGGTAAAATGAAGTTTTGTTTTTCGTTGTTTAAGACCATAACATTAATCATAAGTATGGGAAAGAATACACGAAAATGTCTGCTTAATAATGCTATCTTTTACACACAACGGTTCATGAACGAAGGTTCAAAAGACTAACTTTAATTGAAGGGGTCATTACTTATTCCACAAACTCGTATTTTTTGCTTTTTTGGAAGCTTCATAGCTGCGAAATAATAATTCCTCTACTAACCAGTTACCGTTGATTTTTTACTCTATGAATCGTTTCTAATGTTTGAATTATACATAAAGTAAAATGTTTATCTTTACGAAAAATTAATAAACGGAAGGAATACACTCCAACGTGCATATGTAACTGGTTGCGCTTCAGGGATGCGGGAAGCTTTGTCTAAATAATTTTAAAAGTTTTATTTAGCTAGAGCTTTAACAATACATTAGTTTTTGTCCACGTTTTACGTATTAATTATAAATGCTTTAATGCTTTGAAATACATGTTAAACCGGTAATAACATATTAACATGCGAAACATACGTTTTATATGGTGCAAAAAACTCCATAGGACTTCATTTGGCGTTAAAAAGTTCTCGTTGAGTGAGTCTGAATAATTAATTTTTTATGCTGTCTCTCTTTTTTATCTTAAAGCCACATTAATGAATTCAGTAATTTGCAACAGCGTCGTGCTCGATCTTTTTTAATCCATACTTTCTCTGCATTATTTAAATATTAATATGAAAATCTCGGCCGAAAAATTTTGGCGGCTTTCATTTTTTTTTATATAAAATGTAATATTCACAATGGCCTGAAGTCTGCAGCACAAAGTGTACTCGTGGCTGTGTTCATTTGAATTTTAATTTTGGTAATTTAATTCAGAATTTAACAGCCAATCGACACAATAAACACTACATTTGCTTTTGTTGCGTCATATCCACTTACGTTTGCGCTCATAAACATACAAATGTGCATATACATATTTCAATGTTTTGATCAATGTAGCAGTTTTAAATGCTTTTGTTGCAAATCTTATGATATAAAAAGGGGAAAGAGCTTATTCTATTACTATCTGTGTGTAGTTTTTGGAATTTGCAAGTGCATCAAGCCGAAATATAAATATTGGGGGTGGCAGACTGAAAAAGCAAGAGAACACCAGGCTTTATCATTATTAATTATAAAAAATTTTAGGTACAAAATTGTAGCTGCTGAATAATATCCAAGTATTGATCTATTTTTGGGAAACTACAAAGCCGCAAAACCAAGGCGTAGCAATGAACTTTGAACTAAATTTTAAACCAATTTAATTTTATACTGTATTTAGAGTTCAAGCTAAATGTAATAAACGTCATATTAATAATAAACAGAAATTTATAACCAAATAACACAAATATTAAATATTACATCTGCTAGCAGAAATGTCGAATATAAATGTTGAGCGACTAATTCAACTACTAAATTATTAACAATTTAGCAAATACAAGTTTCGTTTTAAATCGTATAACTATCGAACAAAATTTATGGTGCGGTTTTTAACAATTAAGTGATTTTATTGGTATAACCCAAGCACTGGTTATTTGGTTGAAGGTATTATTTCACTCAAACAATTTTATTTACATAACATGCATGTTTCGTTCTGTTATTATTAAATGACAGATTCCCCAACTACGAGTAGAGTACATGAGGGAATTACACAACTAAAATTTTAGTTTGCAGAAACTGCAGCTGACTTGTCATTCATTCCATTTGGTCGAACACAATAACAGTCAGGAAAACAAGAGAATCCGAAATTGTGAAGGTAATTCAGACATGTATTTCCACAGCGTCATGGGCAGTAAAAATTAGTATAAATTTATTTACACAACATTCCACGTCTTTGAAGTATAGTCGAAAAATTATAAAATTTAATTTTGCGAATTTTATTTATTTTTTATGACAATCTCTTTAACAGATAACCTAGAGGAAAATTATATTTTCATTATATGCTTAACTTCGAACATCGACAGCATGCGACTTTTAACCACGTGCCAAGATGGTTGACTAATGACTAGAATAAGTGGCAGAATTTGAATAATTGGTCTTCTGAAAACACAGGAAATACTAAGATTATTATTAAAGTTACAATGGAGTAAAACCTTCTGAATACTATTTTGGATAAGTAGCTCTTATTATTATGTTAATTATTCTTTTATTATTACTTAAAGAGGGACGTGAAGATTAGTAAAGAAGTAAAGAAGTAATTAATTAGTAATTAATTAAAAACTCGAGTGTTGCGTCTAGGTAAATACTGAATCGATCTCTATTAAACACTGGGAACACAGAAATTTAGGGAAGATAAGAGTTGTGAGCAACTGATTCTATTGTGCAACAAATTATAAATAAATCTAATTTAAATCAGATCAGGCCTACATTGGAACGAAAGAAAATTGATACGAGTGTACAAAATATCATTACTAACGCCATGCAGTGGGTACACATGACTAATTTTCCAGCGCAAGAACTTTAAGAATCTTCTCTGCATAGACTCAGTATTAATTATATATTTATTATCGAGTGGCGACCAAACTATAGCACCATATTCTAAACGGGATATGACAAGCGCAAAAAATAATGAATACAACAATTTGTGTTAGTGAAATTACGCCAAGAACGCATAATGAATCCAAGAAGCTTCAAAGCAGAATTCTTGATAAAATCAATACGAAGATCAAAGACCAATTGTTGATCGAACCAAATGCTCAAATCTTTGATAGAAATGCATCTTGTTATAAGTTCTCTCTCAAAAGAATAAAATCAGCTTCTCCGAAATTGTACTTAAGTTCACTCGGACTTTCCCTAAAGTGGGATTTATAAACTTGCTGTTGACGTTGAAGTTCCCGTTGCAGTTGCTGCTCCCGCTGACGTTGATTTTAGAGCTGAAAATTGTCACTTATAAACTCTGTTGCCAAGTTGTCGTTGATAGGAACTTTGATGTTCAACTTTTGTCGTATTTAAAGGGGTTGTACAGGAAAAGTGGAGGATCTAAGTTGATTACTATAAAAATTTACCATTTTAGACATATTTTAAATTTCTTGTTGTCGAAATAAGTCTACACACATTAAGAAAAAAAGGCAAAATGTAGCCCCGCCTACCCACTCTATCTCAATTTTTTTTATTCGTCGTGATGCAAGAAGGCGGAGCTTAACTGCAAACTCCTTATTTCTCTACGAGAAATTAAAACATATTTTTGAGTAAGAATACTACGTACGTATATTAAGAAAAAAATAGCCAAAGATTAGGCCCTACCTATAACCGTTCTGATCTCAATTCTCAATTGTAATGAATTTTTCATTCGTTGTCAGATCGAGAGGCGGGGCTTAATTGCAAGATCTATATTTGTCTACAAGAATTTACCATTTTAAACATGTTTTAAGTTTCTTGTTCTGAAAAGACGACTACGTAGGTATATTAAGAAAAAAAGGCAAAATATAACCCCCCCACCTACCCTATTTCAATTGTGATAATTTTTTTTAATCGCCGACAGTCAAAAGAGTGGAATTTAATTGAAAAATCCTTATTATTTCTCTACAAAGAATTACCACGTAAGGCATGTTTTGAGTATCGTGTTATTCAAAGAACACTGTGTATACAGGGTGTTATTGAAAGGTAC